GCTAGAGTAACTAACAGAATGGTGTTAAATCATAGACAAATCACTAGAAGCTAAAATCATAAGACTAGGTCTGATTTACTTTGGCTACAGTATGTCACATGCAAATTCATTGGAAAAGTCATTGATGCTAGGAATGGTTAGTGGAAGAAGATAAAGGGGCAAGCAAAGAACACACTGGCATGGTAACATTGAATTTGATATAAAATTGAACACCCAACAATTGAAAGAAGTTATGCTTGACAGGGTAGCATGGAGAACGCTTGCATATAAAGTCAGCAAGTCAGACAAGTCTAAATGGTTAAAAACAAACAAACAAATATGGAGTATATAGGAAGGAGTGTGTGTGTGTGTGTGTGTGTGTGTGTGTGTGTGTGTGTGTATACGACAGATAGTCCTCAACGTATGACCACAATTGAGCGAAAAATTTATGTTAAGTGATAATTTGTTAAGTGAGTTTTCCCCCTTTTACTACCTTTCTTGCTGCAGTTTTTAAGTGAATCATTGGAATTATTAAGTTAGTAACATGGTTGTTAAGTGAATCTGGCTTCCCCATTGACTTTGCATGTCAGGAGGATGGAAAGGTAATCACTGGATCCTGGAACACTGCAATTATCATAAACACATACCTGCTGCAAGTGGTTCGAATTTTGTGACCACCAAATGCGACAATGGTTGTGTGAAAAACAATCATCAGTCACTTTTTTCAGTGCCATTGTAACTTTGAATGGTCACTAAATGAATTGTTATAAATTGAGGACTACCTGTATTACTTTATCTATACCTATATCAAAATATCCTATTAATATAAATAGTGAGTGCATCATAGTGATATTTGTTAGTCTGTAATATGTCATACTTTTGATGCAGATAATCTAAGATACTACTGAAATACTGTATTGTAAGATGGGGAAAAATGTATTCCCTAATCCTGAATAGTTGCTTCCAGGTAGTGTTTACAATGGTCGAGAACTCTACATAGATGGATGCTCTGATTCAATAAGCTGGTTTATACAGTGTACTCTTGAATAAACCACAAAAATTGGATTCATGCAGATTGGTAAGATAGAACCAGCCATGCATTCATTTAGAACAGTTGTAAGCCTGATGTTTGTGAGTCAACTTTATAACTGTATTATTAAGGTATCAACCCACAGAACATTTAATGCTGTCTACAAGCCTTTTACATTTAGATCATTTATTTCTTAATTAGTATGATTTTAAGTGTAATATCATAAATAACCCTTTCATTAAAGAGAGAGAGCAAACTCATATATTTCTTTCTCTATATGTTGCGCCATTTATCTTACCAAAATGACTATTTCTGTTTCTTTTCTTCTTGATTTAGATAAAAAGTCAAGTTCTACTGTAGCAATTTTTAAAGTTAATCCTGTTTTCCTTATTTGCTTTTCTTTGTATATAATATTGTAATATTATATTAAAACATAGTCCAATTTTTCTTTCTGTTTTTCCTCTCTGAGATAGAAAAGTTTAATATTTGTAGAGTGTGCCCTATAATATATAATATAAAAAGTGCAAATATTGTCATAGTGCTGAAATTAGTTTTCTGCTTAATAGTTAATTAATTTCTGTGTTTCACACTTATGCAGGTTGAAGCTAGTAATTCAGAAGACAAAATGCTAGTATTCTTCAAGTTGCGACCAGATGTTATTACAGAAGATAATCTTCACACCAATATTCTTGTATCATCTATGTTAGATTCTCCAGTTAATATGCTTTATCAAGCAGTGCGACAGGTATTTGCACCGGTACTACTGAAAGTGAGTATGCAGAATTCAGGTTATTTCAATAAATCACAGGTTTTTTTCTGAAAATGTACTATTTTCTTATATTTCTTTTATTCTAGAATTTACTTCATTGCTTTGACACGATGTTAGTTTTAATTTATAGAAAGTAGCTCTCTCTTGTCATTACCATTCAGAATTATCTGTTAACAGTTAATTACATACATGCTTAGTACGGTTACAAATATATTTCTTATAATGAATGTTAATTCACTGTTAAGAAGCATGTCAACTATGTTTCAGCACTGAGAAAAAACCAAAGAATGAGATAATGTATGCAGAATTAAATGGAGAAAATTGTATGTTATAATAATGAATATATGCAGTTTTGATAGAAAAGTTACCTAATCTAAACTCTTTATTTTAGGATGAAAAATGGAGTAAAGATTTTGATCCCAAACTGCAAAATCTTTTGCGGGAGTTAGAAACTGGCTTAGGTTCTGTTCTAAGGAAAACAGATACTGCTTATACAGGAGCAAAATATCGGGAAGATGATGTTCAAGGTATATAATACTTACTTTTTATAACCATGAAATTTAAAATGAATATAGTGAGAAATAGTTTGTCATTATAGTCCAGTGAGTAGGCATAGACAGTATGTAATAAGAATCATAGATATACTAGTATCTTGTCATATGGCATATGGTATTTGAAATGCAATGAATCTGTTATAATAAAGGTACTAATGCTTATTTATATGGAGTAAATTACTAAAATATATGCTGTTGCTTTTAAAGATCTTCTACTTGATTGCTATGAAATCAACTGCATATTTGTTTTTTTACAGCTGTACTTTGCCCAAATGATGAATTTCAATTCTGGACAGAGCGTGCTCAACATGGAAGTAAATCTTGCAGCAAGGACAGAGCTTCTCATTTTAAAGAGCTGTTTGAAGCCATTGCATATGTGTGTAACATTTGTTTTATTTATTTGTTAAATTTATTTGCTATGGGGCTACTCTGGCTGGCTTAAAACAATAAAAATGAAGAAGTGAAAAGAAGTGTAGACACAAGAGTAGCAAAGTAATGGAACAATAGAGTAAGCAATGAAAAAGAAAACTTTGAGAAATGTGATATGACAATAAAAGATGGGTGGGTAGGGAAGCAGGGAGTGAGAGGGTGTTGCTATCAATCTAGTAGCCATCTCCAGTGTGGTAGTCCCCCATTGGGTCTCCAGGCCAACCAGCAGAGCCAGGTCATCAAACTCTTACAGAAGGATAGGAGGGTGAAGGCAGAACTCACCTAGGACAGTGTACTAAGGAAGAGAAGGCTTTTCTTCTGGCTCCTGATTGTTGGAGTTCTTTGACCAACGGAATCTACAGTAGACCTTCTGCCAGCAAGCATGGGTAGGCTTCTTCTAGTAGGTTGCAATGTTTCATCAAGTTGGTTGGACTTATGCCATTAAAAGATTTAAAGATCATAACCAGCATATTGGATTGCACCTGGAAGCAGTGTGGTAGCCAGTATAGTTTGTGGAGCAGGTGGAATGTGGGCCATTCTAGGGCCCCCAAAGATTGCTTAAACAAAGTGTAGTAAACGATTGCCAAATAAAAAATAAAGTAACTAATGATCAAATAAATAAAAACAATAATTAAAAAATATCAGCAAAGCTGAATGTTTAATTCACTAATCTCTCCCAACTTTCCACATACATGGACAGCCTATCAGGATTTTTTTACCACAGCCTTACTGCCTGAAGAATTCTAGAAGTTCTAGAATTCTAGAATTCTAGCAGAGATCTGAAGGGCTTTTGTATCAGAGAAAGCTGCCTTATGATATCAAAATTATATACTGCTGCATTGCTTCTCTTTTTATGTACACTAAATCATAAAGCAGTCTATAGTTTTATATATGTGCTGGATAATAGAACTGAGTTGTGTACAGATGAACCTTCCTTCATATGCAAGTATTGGTTTTTATTAAATTGTAACCTTTGCTTGAAAATGTATCTTCATGAATTTCTATAGGAAATCAACATTTTACATATTATAGATAAAGACATTTGAAGAAATGTTTTAACAATGCTTTTAACTCTTCATAGAAATCTTGAGGTTTTCTGCTATCTGAACATTTGATTTTTGTCCTTATTAGAATATTTTGATAATAGTGGCATTTGCCATACTTAACGTGCAATTAGATTAACAATAATGTGGTATTTCCTGAGATCAGCATAAATCAGATGTGCCTGACCACTGTGGCATAAAGGTCTCACTAACCTTTTTATGGCATAGCCGAGACTGAAAATAAGCAGGCAGACCTCAAATTTGGGCACTCAAAAATTATTTTGCTACTTTAATTAAGAAATTTCCTCCTCATCTCTTACCCCCAGCTGTCACGTTCTTCTTTATCAAAAGAGAGCACAAAGTCTTTTTCTGTGTTATTTTTCCAGTGTCATAACACACTTTTCAGCTAGCATCTTTATTTAATTTGGAATTGTTTACACCTGACAGGAATGGGCCAAGGAAACAATTGCTCTTTTACTCATTGTAGTTAGGTCGAGGTGAATGGGCAGCTTTCTCATAAGATAGTTTGAAACACTGAGGCAGATGAGAAAGAACTGGGAAGGACTGTAGGGAGTTGAGGGAAGTTATGGTGAGAATTTGGAGAAATGGATGGCAGATAGTACATACCATAATAACATTTTCATAGAAATGTTTCTGAATCATTGCAGCCCTAATATATTTGCTGGAAATTATATTTTTAATTATGTATCACACTTCTAGGATTATTACAATTTGGACAGCTTATCTTTATTTGAGGTTGTGGATTTAGTGGAGACTACACGGGACATTGTTGATGATGTCTGGAGGCAATCCGATCACGAGCCTTTTCCACAGTCACGCATGAAGAACCTTTTGGATGTCATAGGTAAAGTTCTGAACAAATAGACCCCCTGAACGGTTGACTAACTTGCCTTTTTTGTATGTACTTCCTCATTACTTTCATAGTGCTCGACTGTGATGACTGCCTGACAAGGGAAAGTGACATGGAATACGTTACTTGAATTTTTATTATTGTTTAACTTCCATACAATCTTAACAATTTCTGTCAGCCAAGATGAAGCATCTGTTTTGAACATCGAAGACACTAGATCAGTTTTTGGCATTTGATATTTTGATATCAAATATCAAATATTATTGTGCTGCCTCATTTCTTTTGGTGCAAATGATACCACATTCTAGGGTTTTATTTACCTCACAAACCTTTTCTGTTGGGAAGAAGGGTTTTGTCTCTTAACTTTTTTCTTCATCAGTGGTATTGCTGAGTTCAAATGGCAAGGTTTTTCATTATCTTTACAAGCATTTCCTTTGTGTCCTCCTTCCCTAGGTTATTTATCACACATATGCTGAAAACTCTAGGTCGAGTTCTTTGCCTTTCTTCTGAATGGCATAGTGTGGTCATCCATTTTTGAGTCCCATCTCAAAGCGAACATGGACCAGCTTAAACCATCTTTACCCATCCTCACTTGTTTTTAAAGCTGGCAGCTGTGAGGCTCCTTGATAGAAAGAAGCTTAGAAGTCCAAATCAATGATATATTTTCTTTAAAGGTGTTTATAGACTCTATCAGTTTCTTATCACCAAAAGGCCCAAAGGCTGGTTCATACTGTAATTTGTCTTGTGTCTGGATTTAACAGCAATCTTGTGGCCTTCTTACTTAATGCCTATCTCTGCTACCTGATCTGAGTATAGAATAGTTCTGCTTGTACTGTTGTAGATCTCTCCCAAATAACCCCTATTTCTATTATGAATCCCTATTTTGGTTGAGTATTCATAAAAATTACAAATACAAGTTGCTACGCAGACTCATTGGATCATATATGTATAGGCATATCCATTTGTTTGGAAAATTTGTTTATGGCCTAACTTTAGCCATGGTACTTCCAATTCTAACAAAACACATCACCATTGAGAAATTTCCTCATTTAGATCCATCCCTCTGGAACAAATCATTACAATTACACCTGAAGTTTAATTTATCAAAACTTTAAAAGAAACTAAAACGTTCCTTTTTACGAGCCCTTGCAAAGGTGATTTAATTTTTTGTGTAGTCAAGTAATGTAATTTTTTATTTAAATATAGTGTAGGTGCCAATAATGGTATTATACACACAAATGCCTTGCAATTTGGGTTGTAATGATTACATCGGTATAATTAAGAGTATATTAAGAGGCATGTTTTGACGCAAATGTAGTCATGAAAAACTGTGCTCTGCCAAAGAAAATAGAAATAATTGAAAATACAGTTAATTTTCTTTATTTGCTTGTATGACTTTTAGCTGGCTCTCTTGGAAGATTTGTTCAGAAGAAGTTAGGTACTTTAAACCTATGGGAGGATTCGTTTCACACGGTAAAAGAGAATCTGAAGGCTGGCATCATTATTTGTGAACAGTGGGTTGCAGCTTGTGACCATCTAACAGGACAGTTATGGCAGCGTTATACCCCGCATATATGGCGAGGAGAGAAATATATCCCTGAAACACTAGGAAAACTTGGCAAACGTCTTGAAGAGGTATCTGACTGTTTTGGTTTGTTTTAGGGATGTGAGATCTAGGGAAAAGAACTATCAGGCTTTTGAATATGATGTTTTCTAATGGAGGAGACTAGTACTTGTTTTTTAGGTACAGAACTATAAAATTCAGGTTTTTGGATCTTTAACTAAAGGCTCGCTGATAATAGCTGTAAGGAAAAGTAGATGAAATGATAAGGGCTCTTCAACTGATTTTCTTGTATGTTTTCAAAACAAGCTGGGGACGTGATGTTGAATACATTTTTAAATTTTCTTTCCCAGCTTATAAATTCCCAAAATTGCTGTTTGTCCCCAAACTTTGGGTAGGATGATTTTAATTTAAAAATATATTGTATTTCCCACTGTGCAGTTTGAGATTTTTTTAAAAAAGTATGTATGCATGTCAGAATGAAGAGGAAGGAAAAATAAATATCATAGAAAAAGAAACACAGTATTTATTTCAGTCCTACCATCATGTTACTTAGGAAAAAAGGTTGCCCATTTCTGATAGAATGAATTCTGAAGCTATGGATAAAAGAACGATATGAGATGAAATGCATAAATAGTTTGACACAGTACAAGGCAGCTTTACATATTTGCAGATGAATGAAATAATTTTGGATTGAGTCAAACTTTAAGGAAATAGCTATAGTAAAGTATCTCCTCTTTTACAAATCAGAAGTCTGCAATCCCTGTATAGTATCTCTGAAAAAATAATCCAAGATAATTTAAGAGGAAGATTTTTGACAATGAGAATAAACAGCATCTAGGTTATGCCTTGGAACCTATTTAGCAGAAATCTTACTGGAGTTAGTAGAAACATAATTATTAATGTAATTTGAATTTGGAAGATTGTTTTTACAATATCTTAACATGTAGTTCAAATACACTAAATTCCAGTATTCCCACCATCCTTAATGGTATATTAATATATGTGGTTATTTTCAGTGGAGTAATATTATGTGATATAATACAGAAATTTAACATCCCATTCATAATTAATACTATATTCTATCTTTCATTTGTCAAAAACACAGGTATGATTTTAGCACAGTTTACTATTTAGATGATTTCTAGCTTTTGTTACAGTTAACTGAAAAAATATGGGTCATTATTATATTCCTTTCATTTTAGGTATTAAGTATTCGATCGCTTCATGAGAAACTTACATATTTTTTGCCAACTGGTGAGCAGCAAGCATTGCATCTTGCCCAAGTGTTTGAACCTTTTGCTGGATTGAATCCTGTGCATTACAATCCCTACACTGAGGTAAAATATTTTATACATAAGTTAAACTTCAGTTAGATGAAGTTGATCTCAGTCCAGCAGAATAAAAATATGTTCTCCTCTTCTAGCCTTTGTGGAAAGCAGCGGTACGTCAATATGAAAGAATTATTGCTCCAGCAGAACAAAAAATAGCAAGCAAGTTGAAAAGCTTTATTTCAGAAATCCAGGATAGTCCACAACAGGTATTTAAAAAATATATTATTGACCACAAAACCTGATGCTGAACAAATTATTAAAAACATTTTGTACATCTAACTTTTATATTAATAGTTTTGAATTTCATTTTGCTGCTGGAAGAGAAGTTGAACTATACCTTAAAATGATTAACTGCCTCATTCCAAACTGGGAGTTTTTGTGTACACTTTGTTACTATGTTTTAATTTTCATTATTTCAAACTCTGATTGTAATTATTACTTATTTTATATCAGTTTTGCTGCTGGGAAGTGCTGTCATTAAGCAGCACAGTTGTGTGATCTTTTAAACAATGATTACTTAGTGATTGAAATTTCAGTCCAAATTAAGGTCATTAAGGAGTATTTGTAGATTAATTTGATAAACGTAATCCACAGTAATCTGTTTCATTTTATGTATTTGTACATGTTTTATATTTTTAGCTTCTTCAGGCTTTTCAGAAATACAAAGAATTGGTACGACGTCCAAGCATTAGTAAAGAATTGCTTTTAGAAAGAGAAACTTTGTTGGCAAAACTTCAAGGTGCAGTTAAAGGTATACAAATATATATGCATGTATATATGAAATAATATGAGTGCTTCCATCACCTCTTGTTTTTATGAAAATATGCAATTATTTGATACTTAGGATATATATTTTGTACATAATTTACTCTAAAAACTATTATGACTTGTCATATGTTTAGTCATCACACTCAGTTTCTACGGATAAGTCTGATTACAGAGTGGCGCAAATTCTTGTTTAAAATGCTGTTTTTTTAAATCATGCTCATTTTCTTTATTGAAACAAAATACACTTGCCCTATAAAGAATTGTAATACTTATACTGTCGCCCTTAGTCTACGTATTAGGAATTTTTTTTCAGTATTTAGTGCTATTTGCAGAACTCACTAATATTCTCCTTAATGCTGTTTGCAGATTATCAGACTGATTTTGAGACACGTTGCCATGGCACTCCAGGCGATGCATCAGGGCCGCTTGCGGGGAAGAACCTCTCTGAGGTTGTGAATAATATTGTCTGGGTGCGCCAGCTAGAATTGAAGGTATTGATTTAAACTTATCATTTGATGTTGTATATTAACCTATAAGAAATAATGTGATGTATTTTAGACACATAAGTTAAATAGGGATAACCTTTTAAACTATTTTCAAGGATTGTCTTAAAGCTGATGTACATCTGACCCCCAATATGATCTTTAAATAAACGTTATAAATGTTATGGAGTGACATCGAAGATTAGTTCTGATTCAGTGGAAACCTTTTCATCATCATCAGCTGCTTCTATATGTGTTCTTCTGATGCTCCTGTGACCAAGTGAGGCTGTTCAATAGGTTTCTGAGACTTATTAGTAATATTGTTTTATTAGATCTTCTTGATACCCTGTATTCAGACTCTGTATTCCACTTCTGCTGTAACTAGTTGCATGCCAATTCTCTAGACCAGTGTTGGCGAACCTTTTTGGCACCAAGTGCTGAAACGGGAGCTCACGCGCACATGCTGGAAACCAGAAGAGCAACTGCCGGGTGCGCATGTGCGTGCCAGGAAGATGATCTTCCAGTTTCCGACTTGCACCTGTGCATCAACTAGCTGGTCTTCACATGCACTTGCGCACCGGAAACTGGAAGATCATCTTCCTGGCGCACGGACGTGGATTGGGCAGCTGCTCTTCCAGTTTCCGGCACTCCTGCGTGCGTGAAGACCACCTGGCCAGCGTGGCAGAACCCAGAAGAGCAATGGACGATGGCTCAAGTGCCCGGAGAGATGACTCTGCGTGCTATTTCAGACACACATGCCATAGGTTCGCCATCATGACCCTAAACTATTGCCAATAAGATGCTGCTAACCTTCAGTTGCTATCAAATGAATCTAATAGGCTTAAAGTGTGCTTGGAGGAATGAGTTTGCATATTGCCTTCACAGCTACTGTGCAACTTTGGGAAAAGACATGCTTGGATTAAGGTTTTTACAATAATGACTGTATTATATACCTTCCAAATTACATTTTGCCCTTTGAAAATAGGTATATAGATTGAGGTATAATATAATAGAGAAGATTATCATAGGTTCCCATGGACCACTCTGTATCTAATGATTATAGAATGCTGGAAAACTGAGAGAGTTAGCATTAGACAAAAAAATATGTTTGATATCTAAAGCTTGGTCTGTGTGCTTTGCATGGACAACTCCTGGGTTCCTATTGATTACAATTATGCAATAATATTTAGTTGCTATTGCAACTGGATTGTTTGAACTTTGTTAAGCAACCCATCCTGTGGTTGTATAATATCCGTAGTGTAAAATGCTGAGATTTTAAACTTTGTATATTTTATGTGTTAGCTTTGAATATTTTAGTAGCATAAAACATGCCAAATGCAATTAAACTTTTCAATTATTTCAATATCTAAGGTAGATGATGCCATTAAGATTGCAGAGGCCCTTCTTTCAGACCTATCTGGATTTCAAAATTTCCGACAAACTGCCGATGACCTTCTAGAACAGTTAAAAATGTATGAACAAGAACAGTTTGATGATTGGTCCAGGGACATTCAAACAGGTCTCTCAAACCCAAAGTCTGGTCTTTGGTAAGTATAAAATATTTGACTTTGTAAGAACAATGTAAAAATTAGGTTCACATTAGGTGAACTGTTTTGAAGAACTGCAGCACATCAGAGGATGGTCCAGCATTTTTCCACTAGCCCAGAGGTCTTCAAACTTGGCAACTTTAAGTCTTGTGGACTTCAACTCCCAGAATTCCCATAATTATGGGAGTTGAAGTCCACAAGTCTTAAAGTTGCCAAGTTTGGGGACCCCTGCACTAGCGAGTCCTTGGGGTTTGTGGTTCTAAACATGTAGTTCAATGTGAAATGGGACAAATCATGTAAGAATTCCACAAACTGCTTCTGATTCAGAAGATTAAGTTCTGCAAAACTACTGGTTCACACATATAACAATCAAATGGGTACAGTCCAAAAGAGAAATTATATTATATTATTTATTCAAATTGATTTTATACTTTCTATTCCATAGAGAGTTTACAACATCTGATGTTTTGCATAACCCTGTTTAAAATCTACTTAGGCAAATTAATAGCTAGTCGCTAGAACATAGAAGACCGTAGATACTGTACGGAATAAAAAGATAATATTTTTTAATATAATGACTAATATTTTAATTTTATTTTAGTATACAGGCCAATAGTCCTGTCATGGAACTTAATCATTCCGATGGAGCCTTAAAAATACATTATTCAGATCGCTTGGTAACTCTCCTTAGAGAAGTACGTCAGCTCTCTGCACTTGGGTTTGTCATTCCTGTCAAAATACAACAGGCTTCAAACACTGCTGAAAATTTTTGCAAACAAGCAGTGATTCTCAAACAGGTATAATAACTTATTAAATGTTATGAAATTCATGGATTGATTCTTAGATATGATTTCAAGGTAGTCACTCCATGAGATGGGAGGCTGTATAGCATATACATATACATACATACATACATACATATATATAATAGATAGAAAGGAAAATAGGTAGATAGATATAAATGGTAGTTTTATTATAAGTGTGTACTACTGCTATAGTTCATTACATATGTGAGCACTGCTAAAGAGTGAATTCTTCCTGATTTCTAAAAACGTAAAATTCATGTAGAATTCTGAGTATGATATTAAATTGAAAGTGTATGGTTGAATTTGCAGTAAAATTTTTACTAAAACATTGCGCTTCATTGTATCTTTGCCAGTTTAATTCATGCAGCAAGGCAATATAAGAAATGTAAAGCATTCGTTTAAATTGCTTTCCATTTGTCAAAGTTTTAATCCACAGTTTCGAATGTTTTCATATATGGCAAAAACTCTTACCCTCAACCATGTCTGTATATCATTACTTTCAGAGTATGATCCCACCCCCTCATTTAGTGTAAAGCAAACAACAGAGATTTTTAATATGGCTTTATAGAGGACAAAAATACCTTAAAATGTTTATTCCAGTCTAGTCCCAAAAAGTGATTCGAATTGAAAATCAATGCGCTTTAGTAGAGTCTTCTATAGTTGAAATTTAAAACTGCGTGTTAAAGGGAAAGCTAAAGTGATGAATAAAAATAATTGAAAAAAAGGAATTCTTTTAAATATGAACGTGGCATTTAAACCCTGTGGATTTATATCTTTTTAATAGGTGGCACACTTTTATAACAGTATCGATCAGCAAATGATTCCAAGTCAGAAGCCAATGATGTTGCAGTCGGCGTTAGCATTTGAACAGATAATTAAAGTAATTGCATGTTTATTACTTTCACTTTTATTATTGTTTTGCCTTCTAAAAGTTTGAAGGTTTTCTGCTTGTATATATTTCCTGATTGAGCATGGGATTTGGTTCTGGATTCCTGATGTTTTGAATGAATTTTTGGGGAAGGCCAGAGATTACAAATTGTTGGGAAGCAGTGTTTGCAATAATCATGCTTAAAAATAGAAATATACATACCTGTTTGTCTCCCAAATGCTTGCCTATAGGTGACTTTGCCCTAGAAGCAGGACTAAAATGAGATGAAAATGCTGAATTTTTATCATTTAATCTTATTTGTTTGTTGTTTTGGAATCAAGCACCACGTAGGTTGATTCTGGTGCAGCTTTTACAGGAACAGAGATAGAATGGGGAAAGGTTTCTTTCAAACAGTTATTGTTATAACCCTTATTTCCATGAAGGCTATAACAATATTGAATCAGATTTACCTGTATAGAATTAATATACATTGTAAACTTATGTAGTAGAATAAATACATTGTAAACTGTCAAAAAAAGAAAAAATAAAGAAAGAAAATCACAATTGATTTGCAATTGAATATATACTTTGTCTGGTTTCTTCCCTTTACTTTTTGCCTTTTCTTTCATTTCAAGCTCTGTAAACATGCTCAGAGAAATTTTCATTTTATGAACATCATTAGTATTTGATTGTTTATTTACTTGAAATATTTCTTTGGCAGCACTCAAAAGCAGAAGGGCAAATAACATGGGACAATCCTAAAGAACTAGACATGTATATCAAGAAACTCCAAAGTGCAGCAGAACGGCTTGCCACAGAAAATAGAAAGTTAAGAAAATGGCATATGAGTTTTGTAGAAAAGGTATGTTTCATCACCTCAACCTATTCCGTATTATTATTATTTTTACTTTTTATTTCAGTAATAAAGTGTGTCATGCTTGTAATTCTTCTTGATAGGTTGTTGGCCTGATGAACATTGATCTGCTTCGTCAACAGCAACGTTGGAAAGATGGTTTACAAGAACTTCGGGGAGGATTCTCTAGCCTTGAATCACAGGCATGAATTTATTGCTACTTAAGTATTAAGTAAAATAGGATGGGAATTTATGTGTGTGTGTGTGTGTGTGTGTGTGTGTGTGTGTGTGTGTGTGTGTGTATGTATGTATGTATGGCTAACCTTACAAAACATTTGTGGCAAAATACTTATTACAGAATTATCACTTTGTCAAGTAACTGAAAATACTTAAAATATTAGGAAAATCATGGAATTATCTAGGTTTGTTGCAGAAAATGCTATTGTCTGTGTAATTTACTGATGTGACTGAGGATATTTTTTCTAATTTTTCATGGCAGAATAGTTGGTAAAATAAACTGTAAAATAGAAGCATATGCTATAATTTGTTGGGATTTCTAGGAAACAACTTTTAACCCCCTAGGCACCTACAATATATTTCTGTATTTTCCTATCTAGCACTGTTCTATAGTAGAATAAATGAAGTTGCATACTATATAATTATTACTGGAAACTTCAAAGCAATGTCATTGTAATTCAAAGCAAAGTATCTATTGTGAAATTGAAACTTACTTATATCTACATTTAAATCAAATAATCCAGAACAAAGTTTTCAAGGAATGGTATTCATGAAGCATGTCAGTCTTGCCAGGTAGTCCAGAAAAGAAGCACACCCAGATGAACTAATTCTACTTTATTGTAGATTAGATAGTAAGGGAAACTTGCAAGTCAGAAAGTATATTTCTGCCCCCTCATTGCTTTTACACTTCCCCAAACTAGGGAGGGTTCCTTCTGAGACCTTCTTGCTGAGGACTAAGCAGCCTCTTATCTAACCATTGTCCTGATTAAGACTCTTCCCCCTGTCTTCCAGAGTCACTCCCATATTCCATTACAATAACCCCTAAGAAAGTCTACATTGACTATTACATAAGGCATGTGAATATATTCTGTTCCTCCAAGAAATTGCATTGAACTGATTTAGTTGCAAATTATTGATCTGAATAGTTGTTTGCCATGTTTTGAGTTATTCCATAGACACAGAGTTTTCTGAGTTGTCTAAGTACAGTTTTCTTGAGAGAAGTTTCTATATAGCAGTGATGGCTAACCTTTTTGTCCTCGTCTGCTGAAAGCGTGTGCGATAGCGCACATGTGTGTGCCCACACCCATACTGCAATTCGGCCATGCCACCCTCCCATGTGCCCTACCCCCCTGCACATGCATGCACGACACCCCCACACTCACCCTGCATCCTGTTTTGGGCCTAGCTAGTCTCCCAGCAGCCTCCTGGGACCAAAAACGGGGCATGAGGGGAAGCGCCACCCCCTTGTGCTCCCCCTGCCCCCTGCACATGCACGCGCATCTTCTGCATATGTGGCAGAGACCCACAAAACAGCATGAACCGGTGGAGTTGAGCTGGGCAACAGAGAACAGAGAGGGCTCCACGTGCCACCTGTGGCACGCATGCCGTAGGGTTGCCATCACTGCTATATAGTCTCTCTATAAATTTGTCCATGATTAATTGCAAAATTTTTAACCTAAATACCATCAAATTATAGGGTTTTCTTTCAAATGACATGAAAGCATGGAGACTTCATTGGAACCACCAACTCTACAAAGCTTTGGAGCATCAGTATCAGATGGGCTTGGAAGCACTCAATGAAAATCTGCCAGAAATAAACATTGATTTAACTTACAAGTAAGATGTTCTTGAGGTTGATAACACAATGAAAAATGTATGTATGTCTATCTTTTAATGGAGTAATTGTAACCAGATTACTCCAAGGCACGGGTTCTTGATAGGATTATTAATGTTATTAAAAGTTAATAATTTTTTAATAATATTTTTCAGACAAGGAAGATTGCAATTCAAACCCCCCTTTGAAGAAGTACGAGCAAGGTATTACAGAGAGATGAAGAGATTCATTTCAATCCCTAATCAATTTAAGGGAGTAAGTGAGACCGATGAAGAGTGCATCTTTTCTGTCATGACTGAAAGAAATGCACGTGGATTTTTGACCACATTCAATAAAGCAGAAGACTTGTTCCGCAGACTGGCAGAAGTTTTAGATCAATTTAAGGTTTGTAAATACTTGCTTTTGCTCAAACACTTTTTAGGACAGATGTTTTCGAAGTTCTCTGGTATTCACTTGTACAATCACTTTGTCTGTTCATATCAAGCACTGGCAGTTGCTCCATACGGCACAGGCCAGTCATTTCCTGTTGCCATAACCTAATGATATATGCAACACAAGAGGTCAAAAGCAGACATGAATTTGGAATATTTATAACATAGTTCAAATTGTCTATATCATTAATGTAATATTTACCATGCAATCAGATGTGTACATCCTGTAGCAGCAGAATACTTGGTGCAATGCTTCAGAGTGAATTTAGAAGAGCTGTTTTGGAATGCATAGGAGTGTGAACCTAACACCTGGGTTGTCAACTCATTAAAGGAATTATATGCAGTTCACCAATAAGTGATGCATTCCTGCTTTCACATGCTGAGAAGTAGTTTTTGGGAAGCAACATTATATATCCCTAATAACAATTCTTGTTCTAATTGTGGCATTTTTGAGATATAGACTGCAGTCAAATATTAAAAGAAATATTCTGACAAGCAACATTAATCAGGAAACTGGCATGTGATCATGCAGCTGAGAGAGGCTGTGATCATGCAGGATTCATCTAACAGTGGCAACTGGGACTGCCAGGTCTGCTCTTGTAGGTTTGTGTGGTCATGTGATGTCACACCTTATGTCCCTGTTGCTTAGCGATGGGGTTTCCAATCACAATTAACAGTGGTAAGTGAGAGGTAGCTGTAGTAGTGAATGGTATAAGCAGTGGTGAACAGCTGCATGCCTACAATTTCAAACCAAAGGTATTGGATTAAAGTGGGAAAGAATCAGCTTACTGAAATGCATTTGAAGCATTTTTCTTTTTCCGTTTACGTACCTAAATGGTTGGGATTTATATAGGCACATACTGAAATGAGTAATATATATTTTAAATAAAAAAATATGTTTTCCTTCCTCTGTGTTGAAGGAATGGGTGATAATTGGACAAGTCGATATGGAAGCTTTGGTGGAGATTCACCTTTCCAAAGAACAGGATTGGGAGAAAAATTTCAAAACCCTAAAAGTTAAAGGAAAAGAAGTGGAACGTCTTCCAAGGTACTGCACAGTAAAAGACTTACAAGCATAAGTCTTTTGGGATAGCTGTTTTGTTTTTAATACAGTACTTAGCCCTGGGTTTCAAAAACTGTTACAAAGGGAAAATCTCAGCCAGTGGGTTCCATCCCTTTCTTTTCTAATTTCCTTCAAAATTGCTTTGATTGAGTCTGCTACTGTCCCATTATTACCTCCCAAAGACCCATTAGATCACACAGGGTCGGCCTCCTCCGGGGTCTGTCTACCAGCCAATGCCATCTGGCTACTACCCGG